CCAGGGAAGCAGGTTTCATTAATACTTGTAATACTAGAAAGTTTGGCATTCGTGGGAGAATGTATGAAGGACTTGTTTAGTTTGGAAACATCAAGGGGAAAAGGAATACTGTTCATATGCTTACCACCAGTAATTTCTTTGAAAAGTTTCCATATGTTAGACGCATTCTTACAGGATATGAACTTTTGGTTGTAAATTGAATTCAATCTGTGCATTTCGGACTTTATTAGGATGTTAATTCTTTTCAAACCAGCATTATCCTTCATTTTATATAATTTTTCTTTCTGTCTGCGAAGCTTTTTAAGTTGAGGAGAGGAGAAACGGTCAAATTTGATAACGAGCGTTTCTCTGGGACAACAGGTGTCAAGACAAAATTTGAGATAGTTTGTAAGACCATTTGTCAACAGAGTATGTGTATCATCTAACTACCATAATTTTCGAACAGATCTTCCAATGTATACCAATGTTCACTGATTAACCAGTTATATTCACTTGGTAACATTATTATTCCCTTGGCTTGCGACTGGAACATAGCGCTTCAACAGCACATTTCTGTTTCACTCTGTTCTCTGCAATCGTTTCTGTTTGTCTCAAAGATTGCCTATAAGGTTTCATATCGTTCTCACACTATCTCTCCCAATAACACCCTCGGACTCCCAACGCAACGTTTCTCATTCAGCCTCAACTCGAACGTCTGGCAGATGATGTCACTCAAAGATCTTTACAGAATATATCCAATCTACCTCCATTTTCCCCGGCATATTTATTGGGCAACAGGTTAGTTAGTTGTCTTTCTAACTATCTGATTTTTAGTATGGAACAAAGGCAGTTGTTGATGAAAGTCTGCAGAGTGTTGAGAATGCTTTCAACGACGTGCCAAGTCTCTGAACTAAATGGAGGCACTGGTACTTGTCTACCACATCTCAGTTTCTTTGAATTCTGACCAGCCTTCCCAGACTCAAACATCGTGCGAACAGTCCATGCTTATTTTTGCTTTCATCGAAAGAAGACGCATTGGTTGACTGGCTTTTACCAGTCCACGTCATTGTTTCTCTCCCATTCTTTTTTTTTAATAATAATAATTTGCTTTATTCCAAAACAGTACTTGTGATACAGAATGGAATTCTCAGCATTTTTACTACAGTATTGCATCCAGTTAGTACATTATCAATAAATAGAATTCTACATACATTGAGGAAACCACAGTTCATTATTGCAACAATACATTGGCATGTCGGTAGCAAAGGTAAAGCTGAACAGTGTTTGAAGGTGAATAGAAAAGTAGGAGCTGTGATATTTACTGGCGTAAGCGAGAGAAAGAAACAAAGCATCACATAACGGAAAAAAAGAGAGAGATAATAGGAAAAGAAAGAAAGAAAATGTTGTACCTATAAATGATGAGTTGGAAAGACCAGATCCAGTTGTACTACTGACTATTTAATGAATTATAGGTGTCACGCCTAATGCTTTCTTTATCACACAGAACACGAGCTAAGTAGGGTATGGTTGAGTTTTTGTACTTGCTGGTGCGAGCATATAGTTTTCTATATAGACTTCTGGTTTCGCCTGATGAGATGCAAGGGGAGAGTTATGAATGAAGAGGGTGGTGTGAGTTAGATAAAATGGATTTGACCCATTTTTCACATGAGTCCATGTGCCTGTCAACCAGAATATTAACAAGCTGGTTAAGTGGCACGTTGCTTACCCTGCTGACAACCTTTAACATCCTGCGTAATAAGGAATAGTCTTTCTTCAGTAGCCCGGGAAAAACTAAGGGGGAAGAATGGAGAATAATAGGCAGAATGCGGGAGTTAACGAATTGTAGGAGTAAGGGTTGGGTTATACCAGAATGTTTTAACTTCTTGATGTAGAAGGTAAGACGGAATATTTTCTTAGAAATTGCTAAGATATTAGACGACCAGGAGAGATCAGCAGATAGAATGACGCCTAGGTATTTTATTTCCGACTTGGTTCCAGAGATGAATGAGTTTGTATATATATGTATATATATATATATATATATTTGTGCTTTGAAGTTTCTGTAGAGATGGGGTAGGATCACTAATCCTACGCTCAACCGCCCCTCTTTTACCAGGTTTACGACTGACTAGTGAACTAAGCGAAGTTCTTAAGATATACTTATTTAATAAGACAGTATAATTTAATCTTGGTTAGATAGTCGTCTGTTGCATACAGAAAATACATGAATCTGGAACAAACGAGTATTTCAACCGATCGTCTCGGAATTACCAAATCAGTATTCTGTTCAACTGGGCTAGAATGTAACCCTATATATGTGCTATTTGGTTCAGCCACTTATTTGGCAAAAACCATTTTAAAGAAGTGATTATTCAGCTAACAAATTAAATTAAAATCCTGAATGATTTGAACTTTCGGATTTTGGTAGGCATGTTTAGATTGAATCTCAGGGAGGAAACATTAAATTTATTATATCTTACATCGCTAAAATAAGAATCGTAACCAGTACTCACGCGCTTTTCTTAAATAGCTTTTAACCTACTGTTATGCATTTTTAAGAGAAAGAATGTCCTGATGAATTGGATCATGGTTTGAGTCGAACAATAATATTGTGTCAAATTATCTAGTACAGATCATTATTTAATTAAAAGATACTGTGAGTGGAGAATATATTACCCCCTAAAATACACTGGGGATTTTGTACTGTATATATAAACAAACTATTCACAAGAAAGCTATCGTCACTACTATTACTACTGATGGTGAACCATTAAGTAGTATATTAGTATATTAGCACAGATAACATAAAAAACTGGAGTGTTAGTTAAAAATCTATTTTTGATTCAACTGAACAAAAATTAGCCAAAAAACTCAGTAATCAATCGACTTGGTTAGTATTTCTGAAATCAGGACTTGAAATCCTCAGGAGACAGGATGAATGGTACTCTTAATGTATACTAGTAGTTTGATGAGTGCTACTTACAACCAGATATAAGTAGTATATCAGCAAAAGAATTCAGAAAAGTAACGATATATTTTGGCCACTGCAAAAAGCAATCGAAGAAGAGAACTGTGAGAATAACATTACAAACACTGTGCAGAATCCAACAAGCTATTGAATGTGGTAGGCGTCGGTGGTACAGCGGTAGGATGCTCGCCAACCATGAACGTGGTTCGGGATTCGATCACCGGCTACCGACGCACTCCTTTACCTCGCTAAGCCAGTAGTAAGACTGGTAAAGAAGGAAGGTTGGGCTTGAGGCTAGCAACCCTCATTCGGTAAAAAATAAAAGCCACTGCTACCGAAACTTCAAGTCTCTAGCTTGAAGCTGTATGTTCCACTAGGAACGCAAAGGAATAAAAAAATAGTCGAATATGGTGATATTCGACCAATTTACATATGATGTGCAAATAAAGCATTGAAGATAAGGTATACCAGATTTGTGTCTACAAAACGTTTGTCCTAACAAACATCGCCTTGGAGCCTCATCGGTCTTTTTTTCTTTACTGTGGTTACTGATATTGTAGTCATCCATGTGGTAAGAACAAGATTACTTGTGGTATGGAAACTAAATGATTAATTCTTTCCGATGATTTTAAATGTACTCATTTTTTTACAGATAAAAGTGATTATTTGTTTAGTTCGCAAAAAAGAGGGTTCATAAGCCTTAAAATTTATAACACAACAGAGTCTATGTAAGCGCAATATCGCTTGAAATTAAGTCACGCGTAGATAAAGGCTATCCCGGTCCAGAACAAACAAGAAGCCGGTCACTGTTTCTACGGTACTATTACTTAACAAATCAATAAATATATATACAACAAACCTTAACGGTTTCAAGAGTACAATACACAATGCTTAACAGAAAGCAAGGAACCGCTATCAGAGCGGAATAACGTTAAAGCCAAAATTACGAACTAGCCGGATCAGACACGACCGTTCAGGTAAGCAGTCAGTAGAAAAATGAACCCAAGTAAGAGATAGACAAAGCATAGGCACAAAGATAGAATTTAATTGGCTACTTAACCAATCAATAAATAAGATAAACTCAACAGAATAATACAAAGTAAGACATGGGTCAGCAAAATAACAGTTCACAAAAATACTCTGATTGGGTCATGAGTTCAACTGTCTGACTAAACGGATCGAAGTAAAAACACACACACAGTTCATTAAACAAGGTGGGATAGACACGTTAGGCATGGATAATTGTGTTGCAACAATGCTAGGCTGATCCGGGACAGGTTGACTTGATTTAAGGATGGGAATTGAATTCATCTTACAGTCTATTTAATAAAACAACCGACCGATAGCTGCTACCTTGACGTGGTGGTCGGGCTTGCACATCGCGATGACCCAACAAGCTACACTGGCTAGAACCAATGTTCCTGCAGGTCCTACCATCTCAGGAAGATTGTTAGGATAGCGATTAGACTAAAAGCAGTTACTGGCATTGTGTAAGAATCTTTCCTACACTATGCTGGGGGTCTGAGGGCGAAGTCATACTGCTGGGGAACAGGGGTGTAACAGCAGTGAGGTGTTTCCCTCAGATGACCAGCATACCAACTATGCTGTCTCTCCACTCCGGAGAGAGGGAGTTGGAAAAGGTCGACCCCAAAAATTGTACATCCCGACTTAACCTTCGGTGGTCCGTAACCGGCGGTAAGTTTACCAATACGGAACCAATCCCAGAAACCAGTTCATACAGGCCGTGTGTGACCGGCCTCAAGCAGTTGTTCCCTGGGCTGTGCGGTCACGCAAGACTAACTCTCTTTCTGTTTCAGGTACCCGGGAAGTAACAACCGCCCACACACTTCCACTTCCTAATAAAACAACCAACTCATGTAATTTACTCACAACATTGTATAGTTGAGCAGTGATGAATTAATTTGCATAATGTGACCAATTAAACAGCACTGGTTGCCTTGATGTATACCTTTAGCCATATATATAATCTACTTACAACAAAGGATTACCCGCAAAGGAATATTCATAATATCTAACTACACTATTTTATATCATTCGATAAGCTTATTTAATTCAAAAAAAAAAGATAGGAATACAATATAAACAATTCTACTATATACAACAATAACATATTATGAATGAACACACGGAAAAAGAAACCCTACAAACTAAGAACAATTTTCTTTTTAAGCTTTCGCAAATATCCACAAAGAAATAAATTCAGAAGCAAACAAATAAAGGCGATAAAAGAACACAAATTAATGCAAAAATGATTCATGAATAACAATCTCTACAGATTTTTACTTAAATGCTTATCAGAAAGTGAAAAGACAAATATGTAAACTAATGTGCAAAAACAATTACCAAGGTGAGATACAGGAGATAAACCCACACACACAGAGCTAAATCTAAAGTACACCCCTTGCCCAGAAATATAAACAGCCGGAAAAAGTGACTGTGTACAAGCGAAATTTGGATTTAGACTAGAAAGCAATGAAAAGAAGAACAAAAGGAATAAGAGTCAATTTTCGAATATTACACGTCACAGTCAAAAACAGAACCTGATCGCAGTTCAGCACCACACATAACTTTAACCGATCATAAAAGGAAGTAGAAAGTAACTGCTACAGAATAGAATAGGAGACTAAAACTGCATTCACGCTAAAAGTCATTATAATTACCTGTCAAAAAGAAAGCAAACAAGAAGGAAAAAGAATATGCTATATTTATATAATTAACTGAGGCACTGAAAGAAAACAACAAACAAATCCATACTACCCTGTAGTATGCAGTCATAAAAATTCTCCTGAATACTTTTCCCGTTTGAACAAAATGGATTAGTCATTTGACAAAATGAGAAAAAAAGCATTAGGCATAGTGATAAAATTGAACATTTTATCACACACACACAAAATGCATCATGAACAAAATATTCTGAAGCAAAATTTGAATAAACTACTTATTTTGTATTTAAGTAGTTAAAGAGAAATATATAACGAAACTAATCGCAATTGGACATTTTCTGTTACAACAATATTTGGTTTTTAAAGTACAAGCAAATGAAAACAGAATAAAAGGGGTAGTTGTAAAAGAATGAATAAAATCTGGTTGTATATATATAAGAAGGGTATGATATAGATTAAAATTAATGTTATTGTCTAGATATATATGAAACAATTCATCATACAATGTGAATCATCAATCACAAAAATCAAGAGACAAATAAATAAATAATTAATTAAATAAAACAACTAGGTGTCATATGATCAAGAATCCAATCGGCTGCAGGTTCTAATTGCCAATTGAATGCGCTTATTATCTCACAACATGAATCCCAGTTTATTAAACCTAATTGATAAAGACGACAGACTGATAGTAGACGTACAGCTAATTGTACACGCCAAGCACTAGTTCTATCCAATCTAGTTCTCCAAGTTTCGATAGGTGAAGTATGCGGAATCGGGGGTACAATTAATTGGGGTATAATAGGAGAAAATGGATTCATTACATGTAATAAAGCCCAATGAGCTTCAGATGAAGTACAACCGGGTACTTGAGAACAGACAAGGGAAATCTGAAAAATAAAGAAAATAAAAGACAAGTGTAAGTATGAAATTGATCTTAACCCTAGAAAAACGTACAATTTAAATATCAGTCTCCAGCTCACCGAATGGATAACTGAAACTGCAGTGAGAAGTCCACCATGTCAAGGTGAAGTGGAGACTATTCAAAGCACTGTTAGCATTATATCACAAACTGAATAAGCTAAAATTCACGGGTCATTGGATTTGTTCTCTAGTGGCTAATTGGTTAGCAAACTTGATCTCGTAACTTGAAGGTTCTCGGTTTGATCCCTGGTGGGGTCGTGGGTAAGCCCTGTTGAAGGATCCCAAACTAGGACGAGACAACTATCCAGTGCTCCCTAGTTTGTAATGACCTCTAACGGATGTTGGTTATTAAGGAAATCTATATCGAAGTCCAGATCCTTGTAAAGACCCATAATCTAAATATCAATCAACAATGTTATCTCGACGACACCAGATTTACGGGAAAAGGGAATCAGACAAGAAAATTTCATTTTTGCTTATCTTACTCAAGTGAACAAACAAGGAACAGTAAAGAACACTGATAGACAATAGCTAAATTATACAAGTGAAAACTTAAATTACGACAACGGCAATCCATCAACAGACAAAAAGATGTACAGAAACACTATTCAAAAGAGTTACTACAGAACTATTGTTTTGAAAATCGTCTTATAGAAGAATGGCATATTTCCGAAATCACCGCTAGACTATGAAAGCCTTTAGGAATTGATGTCACCTATAAAGTAATACGGTTAGTGTATTCCACACTACGTAGATTTAACAACTAAGGGTGACAAAACTGAGAAAAACACTACAGTGTTCAGTGCGAATATTCCCAATATTTTCTCATTCAAGAACACTAAACAACAGTAAAAAGAAGCGATTTAAATCCCCTCATACACGCAAAACTACAAATATCATTTCAGCTGTAAAAATATAAAGCTCCCAAATACAAGGGACAAGAGTGCCAAAGACTTCATAAATAAACCTGGTACTCATGTTAATTGTAGATATAGGTCAGTCATAGATCAAATCAGATATTATTAGGTCAACAAGATGACCAATAAGAAATACATATGAATCAAATGATAAGAATAAACATCACAGGACAACCAATCACAGTCAAGGTCATCAGGAAAGATGGTTATTTCATTCATGTGGAATTTCGGTCTATTTTCAAGTTAGTGTTAAAAGTGTTATGCAGAATGACAGTGAAAGTTTCATGATCGAATCATTCAGTTCAGAGTATACAACAACACTAAGTACACCTCTCTAACTGGGCGACAAATCTCGATTAGTTCAAAATATATAATACTATGTCATAAATAGTTAAAGAAACAGCTGTCCAGTACTTTCAAGTTTTCCAATGGTTCTCTAACTGATGTCAGCTCATGATGAAACCCTCCACGCAATCAAACAAAAATCCCTACAAAACCAATACTTGAAAATTAATCTGATGCTCACTAGCGACTGGCCCTGTTCAGGCAGTGACTCGGGGTTCTAGTGGGAAGCCGTGACCAGTAGGGTACAGTAGGTTGAAGGTGAGGTAGTAACTCATCGAAGAAGACATTGCGAAGTGGTCACGCTGTCATGAATTGGCAGAAGTTAGAATTCATGGATTGGCCATTGGATTGGGTCCCAGAGGCTCAACAGTCTTCGAGGTCCTGGGTTCGAACCCCTATGGTGGGTGCGTACTGCTAAACAGTCCCAATCCATGATGAAACAGCTTTCCAGTGATCCTAGATAGTTTTCCAATGGTTACCTAAATGATGTCAGCTCATGATGAAATCCTCCAACAATCAAACAAAAACCCTACAAAACCAATACTTGAAAGAATAAATAACCTTAGTCGTTATTTTGAGGTAAAAGCAGTTTTCGGTTTTACTGAATTTAGACAAATATTTAAGTAATTTATCAAAGGTGCCAGCTTGATAATCATAGAATGCTTATAATACATTAAAACAGTGACTTCATATACAGTTGTAGGCGTTACTCGACCTTATAATAATTCCGGTTATCAATAATCCATATTGTCATTCACTAGCACATAGTTTCTTTGTCATGAAATGAATGTATCTTAGGTTAGAAGTTTTGTCCAATTACACATTTAGATAAAACACAAAATAATCGAGCAAAGAATAATCTTTTCGATGAATTCCTCTTCCTGCTCTACAATTATATATATGTTACATATAGTTACATAGGCCGTACAATTAGGCGTGTTTCTCGTCGAATTTCCGAACATCACCCTGCCTGGTTAAGCAAAGGACAAACAAAATCTATTCGCAGCACTATTCTGTCTCATCTTGTGGAGACAGAATACAAGATTGACGTTAATCATACTTCCAGGGTTATTTACCGCATACCTACGAATCTCAATTTTGCCTTAAGAGTTCGACTACTAAATATTGCTGAGGCTGTGGGGATCCATATTGACAAGCCTAATTTATGCATACAAAAGAAGTTAGTTCAGACGTTATCCTTACCTTGGTCATCTAGGTTTGAATGATCCTGAATTTTTGTGGAGTTTTCCTAATTTTAGTTGATATTCTATTCGCTATTATATCTTTATTATTATTATTTAGGCATCTTTAATGAACTGTAATTGCATTGATCATACTTTACAAATCGATATTATTTAAAAAACACTAATATTGAAATAATAGAGAAGATTTGTAGCTCAGGTGGATGATTTGCAATTAATAGTGTTCTCTAAGCTGGTTGGTTTAGTTGCGAAGCTTTCGTCGTCCTTCTGGACAACATCTTCAGCACCAAATTTAGCACAAAGTGAAAGTTTAAAATCCAAGTCAATAGAAAATGGTCAATACATATGTAAAGATAGTTACCAGGAGACGCAATTATATCACTCATGAAGAAATTTAAATCATTTCACTTTGTGCTACATATGGTGCTGAAGATGTTTTCCAGAAGGACGACGAAAGCTTCGCAACTAAACCAACCAGCTCAGAGAACACTATTAATTGCAAAACACTAATATTGTTATTAACCACTAATCTAGAATATTCTGTGTATATAAACATATATATATATATATAATTGTAGAGCCGGAAGAGGAATACATCGAAAAGAATATTCTTTGATCGATTATTTTGTGTTTTATAGATGTCTGAATGAATATTTTTGCTATATTTAGATAATTTAGTTTGCAAAAATAATCAGTAAAATTATATAATAGACTAAGATACATATATTTCAGAAAATACTTATATTCTGGTACATAAGAAATCTGTTTTGGTCAAATGGGATATAACGAATTAGTCAACTAAATGGTTATGTCGTTTGACATGAGTTCCTTCAAGACTGTAGATACACTTTTCTGACGAGCGTCAACAAGCACGAACCTTAGGTCAAAGACTTCCTGCTGACTGCCCTCACCATCTAATAACAACAATTCAGAGTGTACCGTGATGGTAAGCCATCTAGTAAGATGACCACATTGCAAACTTGACTGATAGAATTCAGTCCGCTCTAAACAAAGGACTAGATATACATGACACTAGTGTCCAACATGAGGTCGGTCACGAGTTAAAAGAGCTCAGTGATGACGTCTCTGACTGAAGTACTAGGTGACACAGGTTGGGATCGCAACAGGGAGATGAGTTTCTTTTTGCTGACAAGAGTCAACAAACACGAAACCTAGGTCCAAGACTTCCAACCAACTGTCTTCAACTATCTAACAACAGTGTCAAACTTGGAATTGTTATCCATTTAACGAACGACAATCTTTTTTTATAAAATGTACGTTATATATATTGTGTGAACTTTCAGTTAACTACTGCTGATATAGATCTCTAGATAAGTGAATGAAGGTTACTTCATTCACTTATCTAAGGAGCATCGTCTCAACTACAGGAGGAACGGACGAGGATGTCAAATCGAGAATCGGGAAGGCGAGAAACACATTCATCAACCTGAAACCAATCTGGAAATCTTCGTCACTCAGCATCAACAACAAAATTCGGATTTTCAATACAAACGTCAAGTCAGTCACTTCTTCTATACGGATCAGAAACTTGGCAGGTCACAAAGAATATTTCCAACAGCCTGTTGCAGACCTTTATCAACAGCTGTCTTCGCTCTACACTGAAGATCAGATGGCCGGAAAGAATCACCAACAAGAAATTATGGGAACAAACAAAACAAGAACCAATCGCTCAAGAAATATGCAGGAGAAAGTGGAGATGGATTGGACACTCGCTGAGGAGGCCGCTGGGTGGGTGACATCGCGCGTCAGGCCATAGCTCGAGTGGAACCCGAAAGGGAAGCGGCGAGTGGGACGTCCAAGGGTGACATGGAGGAATTGAAACAGTATGGACTCACATGGATGCAGGTGAAAAGTACAGCAGAAGACAGAAGTAAGTGGAGACGTGCAGTTGAAGCCCTATGTTCCACTAGGAACCCAAGGGAACAATAATAATAATACTGCTGATATAGATAAGCCATTTGTAAGAAAGCAGAGACTTATCCAAAAGTATACACTCTACAGTGTATAAAAAGAAGACTAATAATAATAAGTCTGTGGTCAAATTTTGATCGCAGTTCATGCAATTTTGTTTTGATGTCTATTCACAACTGACATGTCTGGACAAGGATTTTAAGACATGTCCATATATATATATATATATATATATATATATATACATATATATATATATATATACCTGTGTTATTTTAACTTTGATTAATTTCCCTGATTAAGTTCGGACCAGTTTGCCAAACAAGACGGTGGAATTATTTATTTCAATTTCACCCAATTGTTATGGAAGTATTCTATCAAATCTTGATTACACAGTTCAGATAAATTATCCAATCGATTGTGAAAAGAAACTACAAAAACTATTAAGTTTGATTCTCATAATCTACTTGTTTATGTAGTGGCGATAAAGCTTTAATACTTAACTTTCAGACAGTGGGTTTCAGTTTTGAAGTCCATTTCCACTTATATCCGTTAAACACAGTCGGGGGTAATCTATATTCTGGTAAATGAAAGATTTAACTAAATGTTTATGTCTTTTAAAATAACTGAGTAACAAGTATCATTCTAGACAGAAATAGATACTGGTAGCTAGAGTCACCCTACAGGTAGAAATTATTGTCATAAAGTTTATTTATACCCAACAGAATATTGCTGCTTAGATGCAACAAAAAGCAATAACAAGACAATTAACACCATTCAACAACGAGGACCGAAGGCGCTACGATTCATTTCAAGACCTTAAAGTTGAGTAACATACAGGCTAACCCTCAACCACTGGATGTGAGTCTAGTAGCCTCTAATTTTCCGGTTTATATACTTTTGAGACAGAGTGCTTTCATAATCCGGTGGCAACTGTGGTTGACTGCGCTTTCATCACATTCAACGTAATAGATCCAACTGATAACACTTGTAAAATTAATCTCGAAGGTTATTTCCAACACAAACCGAGTATCTTTTCGTTTGGCAGGTTTACAAGGTTCGACTAATTTCAAAATGATTTTTTGCTATGATACGCTATTTTCAATAGTTCCTGGAGGAAATCCCCGTTTGAGGGGAGCGAGAGAAATTACATTGCCTAGCTATTCCAATACACATTCTGAAATAGAATAATCTAGGAATTTAAAATATAATCGATAATTCTTAATAAGTAGAATGTGTTATATGAATTTTAATATAATCAGCTGATTGTCACATGTCTTTTCCTTTAACTTCATGATCATTGTTCAGTGTCACGGATTAACACGGAGAAACAAGAAGAAAAGAAAAGATGCTTCTTTGTATTCAAGTCAATTTAACTGAAATTAAGTAAAATATTAATGAAGCCGTAATTAACTCTTTAAAAACAAATAAACTAAGCATTGTTTATTATTTTCTACAAGTTACTTAACTTCAGTAAAGGTATTCAACAGTAAAGCATTAAAAATATTAGAGTTTGTTAGGAAATAATCGATCATCATCATAAAGTAAGTAGTCTTCATCACAAACCAAGATCAGTAAGAAAGCTAATATGACTATTGACAGAAATTTCATCCTTCTCCGCTACTCTTCAGGTATGTGTAACTATGATTCTGTGAGGAATTCAGTCAATGAAATGAAGTTCATTGTCTTCTAATGAATGAGATCAGAGGAGTGTGCAGCTGACAAGTCAGAATGGAAAGAAAGCTGTTCAAGGCCTTTTTGGTTTTCAGTATTTTAAATTAAATTTTATTATAGCTTGATTTCACACAGTATTTCGGTACAAGTATGAAATTTTCAGCATGTGATATCGGTAGTCCAAATTTAGCAGGCCGACCATTGATATCAGGCGTGCGTCGGCGGGGGATCGAACCCCGGACCATGTGCATGGTCGGCGAGAGTCCTAACCGCTGTGCCACCAATGCGGTCCTAAAATAAGTACAACTCCGTAATACAATGTATATATTTTTTCGATAAACTATGAATCACTAAAAATTGAAGTAATCAGGCAAAGTATATCATCAAGATTAGACCAAACTTATCCGAGAAACCAGTGACCTTAAACAAACAATCTAAAATTCAAATGGTAAAAGGTCGCATAGCCGTTGAGAAATGCACTTAAAAAAACATTGCAAACATGATATTACACTACACAGTTGTCGCTTATGTGTTGTGAGAATGTCTCCCACTCACTACACAGATGATGTGTAAAGAAATCATACCATGCGCGATAGATCCATTCATTCAGATGACTGTAAGTCATGGTACTTTGAGATCCATTGATATTTCTAATACTTCTTTAACCTACTCCTAACTCTAACCATAATCCTAACTTTGACCCTAATCGTAACCTTAACCCCAGACCCTAAACATTAATCTAAGCCAAAAACCCTCCTTAACAGTATAGATTTACAGAAAAAAGTACCTAGGGGAACGAGTGGAATACTGTATCTACACCCTCAAAAAGGTAGGCATGATTTGATTTGGAATAACGTTTCATAACATTCGCTGTATCTTATTGATTCTTGAAGGTTAGCCTTTGAAAGACCTTGGCTTTAGTTAGATACTATATAATACTTTCACTCCACACCACTTATCTATCTAGTACTTTCTAACTAGAAGAAGAATATGGATGGATAATGAATAAATTATCACTCTGTGATGATTACCATTTACTTACTGTCAGCAAAATGCTTATCAATCTAATCACTCCGACAATGATTATGGGGTAATTACAAAAGAACAATTTTATGGTCCACTTGTGACGTTAGAGAATGCATACACACATATATAAATAAGTCAGAAGGCGAGAGGAGGAAACAGAATTTCTCTCTCTTTCCTTCTTTGTCATACACACATATATAAAATCCATCTAACGCCCACAAATTCCATATTTATCTCAAAATGAAGATATACCCTTTTTTCTGGGAGAATATATATATAAGGAAAGGCGATCGATAAACTAAGAGGAACTTGAAAAGAGAAAGAGAAAGGGAGAGAAGAGATAGGACGAATAATAATAATAATAAGGTATATTTACTTTCATAATACAGAGAATGCATTGAAATTCAAAATGTTAAAATTGACATTTATATTACTTGCATGAGTAAGTAGAGAATTCAAATGACTAAGTATAGTAAAACAAATAGGATTTAATGAACTTCATAGTTGACAAGTTATTCTCAAATATTATTTAGTTAAAAAGTTAAACGGACCAGCGTAAACCTTCTGTCTGTCTGGATTCAACATAGAACTTGGCACCGAAGTGCAGCAGTTCGAGTTGCCACAATCCGAATAGCACACAAAGGTAGACAAGAAAATGAGTGAAGAGAATCAATAGAGTTTTGACGAGTATAAGAGTGAAACAGAATGAGTAATGGTAGAAAGGAATATGAAAGATTACTGAATACATCTGCGTAAACCATTGACAAGGATTTTGAGCCATGTCACCTATTGTCTTCAGCCATTGATTCTTAGAGTCCCGAGGGCGGGCCCCAACCCGGAAGTCTGTATCTCCCTACCTGACTCAGTTTAACTGTCAAGGATTTCATGGATTGATGCCATGTTTTTGTTTGGCCACCACTTACTCTTTTCCAACCTGCACCGATATCAGCTAGTAATGCCCGTCGGGGGAGGCGATGGTTAGGCATGCGCAGCACGTGACCTAGCCATCTCAATCTATGTAACTTTATAGCCTCGTCGATTGATTTTCCCTCCTTGCCCAACACTCAACACCTAACGTCAACATTACTTACCTTATTATATCATCTAACGTGAGAAAGAGATCGTAAACATCTGTGGTCAAAAACAGTCAACCTTTTCATATCTTCAACTCGTATTGGCCAATCCGAAATGCGTAAACCTTCACAACAAAGTGTATTACATTTAATAACAATAATTATAATAATGATTTTCGATGCACTGAAATCAATGAACCTGATCAAAACTTACTTCATCAGTGAAAATGTCTACAGAATTGGAGAGTTTAGGGTGATTTTCACTTTCTTGAATTTGTGGTTGCACATCTGGAGAGAAAAATTGAAGGAAATATAAACAAAACAAAAAAAAGAAATATCATACTGAATAATAATATTACTCATTACGGTACCCCACTCGCAAACGAATACGTTCGACAGATACAGTTAGGACCTTCGATTGACATTTCAAGCGTGTAGGATAGTCTACATTCAGAAATATTATTACATTAGATTCGGCTACTGTTGACATGAATGCATACTTACTCAACTATTGCCACTTAAGGGAATATTAGTCTGAACTTTGGTCATTTCTTACTATGTAAGTTTGGCTTCCTCTAATTTTATTAAAACATCCTTCTAAAAAGACTGGTGAAAGGAAGTTAACTGCTTCCAATATTACAGATACCCAGTGAAGTTATATATATATAAGACTAGCTAATAAAATGCTTCAGAAGGTATACACCAATGGTGACAGCAGCCACAAGATATGCTATGAAGATGACCAGTGGAAGACAAATGCACAGACTATCCTAATAACAATCAGTGAATATCAAACATTATTGAGACTCTCAAGCAAAGCAACTACCCAAAGAACTTCATCAACAAAATCAACACTGATATTAGGTATGGTCGAAAACACGTATTCCGAAAACATGGACCTCAACAGTTGTCATTCCATATAATAGAGCAGAAACATCAGACGATATCAGAAGAGTAGTCAATAAGCTCGACATCAGAGTTTTCTTCAAAACATCAGACACACTACGAAACAACCTTGCCCATCTAAAAGACAAAATCCCTAGAGATTCTCAACCTAATTGTGTCTATAAAATAAAATGCCTGGAATATGATGCGATATACATCAGACAAACATCTCGAGAAATCAAAATCAGAAGAAATGAACACCGTAGAGCATCTGTCCGACCACCAAGAAATCCAGTTGAATTAGAAAAGCTTGAAAAAATCATCAGCCATAGGTCTACACGCTATAGAATCTGTCTGTTTTTGACATAGAACTCTGCACCGATGTGCAACAGTTCGAGTTACCATACTCTATGTAGCACACAAAGCAAGAGAAGAAAGTAAAAGAAATGCATAATAGAGACAGTAGAAAGGGATATGAGACAAAAGGAGTAGTAATATCGAAGAACAATATAGTATCATTAGGTATTATAAGTCACTAGGAGTGAATGCATCTGCGCCATTGAGAACAATTTTGAGCCATGTCACCGATTGTCTCCAGCCATTGGTTTTTTCCGTCCCAAGGACCCTAACCAGGAAGTCCACACCTTTCCACATGGTTTAAACTAACTGTTGTGGATTCCGCTGACTGGTGGTATGTTTTGGTTTGACCACCACTTGCTATTTTCCAGACTGACCCTATGTCAGCTAACATTGCCCGTCGAGGAAGGTGATGACTAGGCATACGTAACAGAATCAGGCCACAAAATTGATTTTGACAATACTGAAATAATCCAGAAATATTTCAGAAATTACAAAGAAGGTCTTATACCAGAAGTATTTCATATCAAGTGGAATCCAAATTGTCTAAATAGGAATGATGAACTAAAATAGAATTTGACCTGGTTACAACAACTCCCTCCCCCATGAAGTGACAAAATCAACACAAATGTGATAAGGAATTTCATTATGTAAACACATGTTGCTTTTATAATTTTATACACCTATCGAATCCAACAATCTACATCTGGTTTTGTTATCTTTACCAATTGACCAACTTGAAAACGCAAAAATGACCCCATGCTGAGGAACGATCATTAAGTGGTTATACGTAAACTGAGATTTTGTAAATTCTGGTTTAATAATACTTTGTTAAAGCTGTTAGCAGCATTAAATAGCGAAACGTCAGTAAAAACAATATCGTTTTGTTTTTCATTCATTAGGAAATACAAAGAAACCTTTATTATAATGAAAATCACTCAATGGGTTAATAGAATCTCTTCGTATCAACGAGATCGCCAGTTATTCTCCCAGTAAACTACAAGGAGTAGTCAAAAAGTTCAAGTAGTTATGTGAATGCCGTGAGTGATAAGATTTATAACCATGTACCGAAAGAAGCGACAGAATATGTCAATAGAACAGTAACAAAATTAGGTTAACCACAAGAAAAATCAGATTTAAAACATCTCAGCGAGCGAAGTTTTATCAAACTCCTGTGAAACTCAACCTTTCTGAGCTGGGCAAAGCGAGTTTGCATCCCGTAAGTGTTCGGGAGAATTGAAGACTGTCTGTCAATGGACACAGCCGACTTATAAAGTTCTCTTTAGCGCCCCGTACGTGCGTTATGGATACCAAAAGAACGACTCCAATAGACATCACAGTTTCTTAGCTCTGTAACTGACTAGAAGCAGCTGAAGATATAGTCACCATACTGATGTGGTGCGGTGAGGTGGAGGATATTTGCGTTAATTTAGCATCTATTAGTGGATCACGACTACCTGAGCGGAAGTTAGAATCAACGTCGAAGAGATACGTCGTGTTGTACAATGACAGTCTGTGACGACAGTCACCAAGTAGTCTTTAACCAATTATCAAAATAATCCAAGTAACTTTACACTGAAAGATTTTATACACCATAATTAAACCTAGTTGATGAGTTTTGAGGGACTTCTTGTTATGCGTAACCAATAAGTACAAAAATTAAAACTTACCCTAATCAAAAGACAGTAGTGACACAGCTCACTGACTTAGGCACTCGACTTCTAGCTAATGGGTCTAATCCCTCAACTTCAACCAGAAAGAAAAGTGGATAGTACAACTTGTTCTCACACAGTAAATACGGCACATAGTCTGGAACAAGAGTTCTAACTAACTAAATAAATCTAATAAAGAACATAAATGCATGACACTATACACCAATGTATGATTGATTGATACGAATAGTTATACTGGATTAATCAGATAGACCGGACAGCTGTTTCGTTCGTTTAGTGCCGAGCTCATCAGCATTGCCCTCGATCTGACTGAGCTCAGATAACTGAATCAGTTGAAACCACTGGAATTCTAGCTAGCTACTTGGATTAACTAGTTTCCCTCGAGAACAACAGCCCCTCCAGTGTTTAGATCTGATTAGCGAGCACTTCTACTCACATTGAACAATCAATAGTGTATAGTGTCTCGCCTTCTTTATTGTCATCTATGGTATCAAGTGTGCTGTGTATTGTAATCTGAATAATTTCTGTTTCCGAAAAAAAAAACTGTGAAACGATTTCACCTCGAGTTGCGCAAATTTCAAATCGCAAACGAATTTGCAGAATTGAGAATTTGATGAAATGAACAAAAAAATACGACTAGACAGTAGACAGTAAAGATTCTGGCTATTGATATCAGATGGTTGGAGGCAATCGGCCAAAAGAAGCCTTCGACCTAGGTTTCGTGCTAGTTGGCACTCGTCAGCAAGGCGTATCTGCAGCCTTGAAGGAACTCATGTCCCTTCTGAGGTTCGAACCCGCATCACCCAGTGCTGCAGTCAGAGACGTTACCACTGAGATATTCGGGCTCGCGATTGACCTCCTGTAGGACTGTAGTGGATATTTTTTTTATTTGACAATAGTAACTAGTGTGGTTTGTCTAGTCCTCTCTTTGGTGCAGACTGAATTCTATCAGTCAGGTTGTAATGTGGTCACCATTCTAGGTAGCTCACCATCACGGTGCACATTGGTTTGATGATACTAGATGGTTGGAAGCAATCGGCGGGAAGCCTGATAGAATTCAGTCTGCAGCAAAGAGAGGACTAGACACACCACACTAGTTACTAGTGTTAAATCAAAATATTCTGACTATTATTTGACATATTTTGTTGAAATGATTAGAAAACAGGCTGAAAACTGATGATATTTCATGAAACCAAGCGAGAATTTAAGTCAGAGATAAACACACTGCGCTAAAAAAATTAGCTCCAATAAAATATACAAAAGACTGGTGTCTTTATTAACTGATCCAATTAGGAAAAATTGAACTTAAACAAAATCAAAACATCAATTTAAATATAAGTAACACACCATTTTGATTGGACACTAGTAACTAGTGTGACGTGTCTAGTCCTTTCTTTGGTGCAGACTGAATGCTGTCAGTCAGGTTTTGCAATGTGGCCACCATTCTAGGTAGCTCGCCATCACGGTGCACATTGATTTGATGATATTAGATAGTTGGAGGCGATCGGCAGAAAGCCTTGGACCTAGGTCTCGTGCTTGTTGGTACTCGTCAGCAAGGTGTATCTGCAATCTTGAGGGAACTAATGTCCCTTCTGAGATTCGAGCCCGCGTTACCCAGTGCTGCAGTGACAGACGTTACCACTGAGCTATTCGGGCTCGCGATTGACCTCATGTAGGAAAGTAGTGGATACTTTGATTTGACACTAGTAACTAGTATGATGTGTCTAGTCCATTGTTTGGTGCAGAATGAGCCCGAATAGCACAGTGGTAACATCTGTGACTGCAGCACTGGGTGACGCGGGTTCGAATCTCAGAAGGGACATGAGTTCCTTCAAGTTTGCAGATACGCCTTGCTGACGAGTGCCAACTAGCACGAAATCTAGATCCAAGGCTTCCTGCCGATTGCCTCCAACTATCTAATATCATTAAGTAACACACCACTCTGCAGAGTCTTATAGTTTTACGCTAATATGAATTCATTCAGCTTGATACTGAACTACTAACCAATGAGTGTTTACCGTATAGGTATATATGTTTAGAGCGAAGTGAAAGAAGAAATGTGGCGAATTGTATTCATCACACAATGTGATATGCAGACAAAAATATTAAATAAAGTTAAAAACATGTCAATATTGTTAAAAATAAGAGTCGTGATTTGATCAAAATAAGTCTGATTACACAAACAGTATAAAGATATCTCACCTGAAATTGTATCACTTTGGACAGGCATTCCAACAGATGACTAGATGGATATAGACAGGCAGAAAATAAGAAAACAACAATGATAGAAACAGTAATATATATATATATATATATATATATATATATATGTTAAAACATGTATGAGAATGCCATATAAAATTCAAATTTGCCTCCAGGGGAAGCATATCACCTTCACTTAGCACGAATTTATTCATATTTGTAAACTTCTCTTTCATAAATAGGTTTGATGATATTTAAACTACAGAAAATAAAGGTAAGAAAAGGAAAAATAAAGTAGACTCTCAAGTTAGTTTAAACCGGTTGAAATAACAGTTTTGTCTTATTGATATAAGTATAAAACTTGGACAGTGTGGTAGAGTATAACTCCATTATAGATAAGATTTTATTTTGATAAATCACACAGTGTTATACAGTAATATTTACTGATGACGTTTCGAGCACAAATTATTACTGCACAAAATTATATCAAGTTACTCACACAACTTTCTTGCTTCATTTATATACACGAGTAAAATTGATTAGACATTTGAATAAAAATCAATATAAGATAAAGTACATTCAGAAATAATAATAGTGTTATCAATCAAGTACAATCAGATGGGAAACAAGACGAGTGTTTTTATAGTCAAAATAAGTAACTTGTTAGAATGTTATAATGTACGTGAATTGAAATAGAATTTTAAGACTATTCATTATCCTCCTGTGATTTTACTGGCAATAATTTTAAGAAGTAATATAAGTAGGTGGAGAGGGTGAGACACTGATTACTGAATCCTGCCTGATTCATCGAGTCTACACCCAACACATGCAACAGAGAGATGGAAGATATTATTGCCACCAATCAAATAAGAGGAAGACAATAAATTATCTTAAAATTCTATTTCAATTCACCTGCATTATAACATTCTAACAGGCTACTTATTTTGACTATAAAAACACTCGTCTTGTTTCCCATCTAACCGTCTATTCAAAAGTAAAATCGTCCCATCATGTAATGTTTTGTTTATCACATTAGACGTAATATACTATTAAGTGAATACTATAAGACGATAGTTGGATAGAAAAACAAAACAAAAACTGGTTGTGTTGACAACTGTCTACCCATTGGAGAAAAACAAACACTTCTTTCACCAATTGAGGAGTATCTACGACAAAAACGTCCCACTCAGTGCAGTGAATAAATAATGATGATGATAATAATAATAACAAGTAAGTGAGGAAACAAAACCACATTTACATACACGGAAAATTATAATAAATCAAATAGATTTTAAAATATTTAATAGGACAGAAAACAACTGGTTGGTTGTCATTCATGTGAAAAAAGAAAGAAAGAAGAAAAAAATCTATTCCTGTTCATCATCAATTTACGATCAATAAAACATGAGAAGAGATAAGAAAATATATATAAGCATAACTTTTCAGAATAAAAAGTACTGGCACAATATATAGAGAGGCAATTTCATTCATTAAATGTTTATTGGCTGACAAAAACAAAAACACTTCCTGTTAAAACTGTTCATAATTGATCATAGTTGGTGAAATGTATTCAGGAAAGGTTTGGATAACTGGATTTCTGTTCAAAGTTAAAAGTAAAACTCCTTAATAATTAATTATCTTCAAGAAGAAGAAAAGAAAAACCAACTTTAAATCAATTAACTTCCAACAGTTAAGTGGATTTCGGGTAATACAGAGAAACAAAGCCTTCATTAGAACCGTTTTTCACAAGGAGAATATCACATCGGTATAAAACACACTTGACAAATTCTATAATGAGCTCTCTGAACCCAAAGTGTTTTTTAACTATTTAATTTTGTTAGACGAATAATGCGGGTTCATATCATAAGTATAAGAAAAATGTGGGTAGAATAATTGTCAGCCACATACGTGATCGAGGAATCGATTTCCGGCTGACGAATACCTAAATCCGACACCTAGAAGTTAATAAGTCTAAAAAAGACGTACAGTTAGTTGGCTGTGAGACTAGCAGCCCTAACCTATAGAGCAAAACAAGCACCACCACACTTGAAACTTCAAAACTGCTTAGGAGCTCTATGTTCCTCTCAGAACGCATAAGGAATGAAAAAGCTTTCTAAGAAGAAGTGTCATAGGTATACTTGATCAAATACTATTTTCCGAAAAAAACACAGCTCATTCTGATGTAACTGCGTTGCATGACTTATCAGTGTAGACAGTTTTAGACTAATAAATTTTATCATTACAATACACAATTCACCGCTATTCATTATGCTAAACGTATTAGTACTGTATTATTTGAATATTTCATCTTCCGAAAGGAAGTACAATGAAAAAATTTTATACTAATGAAATCATGTGCTCATATACATATTAGCAGACTATGAAGATGAAATACATTAGTGAAGCATAAAGAAAATTATTAATGTGTTGCACTGAAAAGTTTGTAACCACATTACTCACATATTGATTGATATTTTATTTAAAAATACACCATGGACAAAAAGTATTCTTAAGGAAAGTAATAGAGTTGATCACGGACTGGTATCAGTTGGAAAACCATTGAAAACCAGGGAGTGCTGGATAGCTGTTTCATCCTAGTTTGGGAATCATCGACAGTACGTAATGGTTCTCCAACTGATATTAATCTGTGATCAACTGATAAAAGCCAAAACTAACCCTTACAAACCAAACTATAGAAATTTAATCTGATGCTCTCTAGTGACTTGCTACAGAATGGAGTTTCCTGGAGTTCTAGTGAGAAGTCATGACCAGTGAGGTCCATACAGATGTCACGTGTGAGGATGGATGTCCCACCAACGACAATGGTTGGGGTCGCGCTAAATCACGAATCGGTAGAATTCATGAGCCATTGAATCAGGTCCCAGTGGCTGAATGGTATACGAGCCAGCTTGCCCTGTGACAGGAAGGTCCTGGGTTCGAATCCCAGTGGGTGCGTACTTCCGATGATTCCCAAACTAGGATGAAACAGCTGTCCACTACTCCCTGGTTTTCAATGGTTCTCTGACTGATATCAGTCCGTGATCAACTCGTAAAAGTAATAAAGAAAAAAGAATTGACATGAGATGACTGAGATCCAATACACTTTGCCGATCAAAGTGAAGAATGGCATCAGCTGATGCAGTTGCGGTCATCCGGGTGATAAGAACTGATGACTGACAACCCCTTGTGTGATAAGATGTGGGGAATAGTTCATAATGATGCAGATGTAGTTGCTTATTATCGTCTTCCAAATCCTGAAAATCTTGACTAATCTTCAAATTAATTAATTAATTTTCACTGTCACACAGATACACACACGTTTGTCTATTTACTAAGTATTCTTCTACTGCTATTCTCACTTTTTATGTGCTTTATTAATGTATGACAACTTGAAGTGATTCAATTTTTGGGCAAAATTATATAATAATGATAATAATAATTCGCTTTATTCCAGAAACAGTACTAGTGGTACAGTGTGTAATCTTTCAGCACATATCTACAATATTTGCATCTAATTTTATCAAACATTTAAAAGGAGTATTTCAAAAAATAAATATAAAGACAACAACAACAAAAAACACAAAAATAATTTTAAAAAATGCGAAAAAATGCCAAGAAGTAGAAAGGAAAATAAACAACATAAAATAATATCTCAGTATTGGGTAGTGGAAGCTATGATATGATTATGCATGGTGACAGTACAGCTATAGTCATATAAGAAGTTATGTAATGATATTTAAGAATGTTTATAGCCAAGATGATCAGTTAATTTGGTTGAAACAACACTAAACAATCATAAAATAACATTTCAGGGTTGTTTTTTTTGTTGCCAGGTCTAATGTGGTGTTTGTAGTGGTAGTGTGAGTAATCCTGCATAATACAAAATTTTAAGATGGTCATAATGGCGTTCACAACCAATGATTGTTAGTTAATATTGCCGAACACAAAAAAACAGCAACCACAAAAACTAATAAATACATGATGGTTAATGACAGGAAAATTTTGTAATACTCATAGTGCTAGTATAGTCGGAACTAGTAGATACACAAAAGAACGAATACAGTAAAGTACAAAAAAAAGTAAGCCAATGTTAATAATTTAGGTAGCTAAGTATGTTTAAGAAGGAGTTCACTATAGAATACAAAATAAGAGAGAAATAAAAGAGCCTAAAATTATGTTATTAACAACAAAGCAAGTCATAGGTTTCACGCTTAACACGGGTCAAATATGGTATCGTTGAGTTCGTGTACTTGGTTGTACGAAATGTCATATACTGATCTATCAGTCAATAAGTCAGGAGGCATTTTAGCAATATATGCTATTATTCTTACATCTTCATTTCACTATAAAATTTAACTTTGATTATTATTATTATCATCACTGCTTGGCTTCCATGATATGCATCCACTACTATTCGAATGAGAAGTATTATCACGTGAAATTTTCAACACAGAATTATACACGCATCATCCATTTCAAGGTTTATAAAGATCTAAATTACTTTAAATGTGAATTTAGTTACAAACCAACATTAGTAAGAGAATCAATGTAAACTAAAGACTACTGGAAATGTATCTCTTGGGTTCGATCCACAGTAGGATAAGGAGGTGAACACTATGCACTGATGTCTGTCAACGACAAAGTTTACATTGAAAATAATAATTAATCAATAAAAAACATTTCTTGCAGTATTAACTACAGACTGAGAAAATAAAACAAGCAGTTGAGTAGTAAGTATCAGATGAATATAAATTTATCAAATGTTGGTTAGTACGGATTTGATTGGCTAGAGGTTTGATCACAAGCCCATATCAGTTAGAGAACCATAGGAAAACCTGGGAGTACTGAAATTCTGTTTCGTACTGGTTTGGGACTCTTCAATGGTACAAACCTACTGGGGATCGAACCCAGGACCTTCCGGTTACAAGGCGAGCTCGTAGACGATTCAGCCACTGGGATCCAAATATAATGGCCCATGAAATTCACCTTCTGATAATTCGCGACACATATAGCGCAGCTACCGGCCAATGTCATAGGCGT